GACACTCTTGTAGGACACTCTTGTGGGACACTCTTGTGGGACACTCTTGTGTGACACTCTTGTAGGAAACTCTTGTGGGTCACTCTTGTAGGACACTCTTGTGGAACACTCTTACAGGACACTCTTGTGGGACACTCTTACGGGACACTCTTGTAGGACACTCTTGTGGGACACTCTTGTGGGACACTCTTGTGGGACACTCTCGTGGGACACTCTTGTAGGAAACTTTTGTGGGATACACTTGTAGGACACTCTTGTGGGACACTCTTGCGGGGCACTCTTGCGGGACACTCTTATAGGACACTCTTGACACTCTTGTAGGACACTCTTGTGGGACACTCTTGTGGGACACTCTTGTGTGACACTCTTGTAGGAAACTCTTGTGGGTCACTCTTGTAGGACACTCTTGTGGAACACTCTTACAGGACACTCTTGTGGGACACTCTTACGGGACACTCTTGTGGGACACTCTTGTGAGACACTCTTGTAGGACACTCTTGTGGGACACTCTTGTGGGACACTCTTGTAGGAAACTCTTGTAGAATACTCTTCTAGGACAATCTTGTGGGACACTCTTGTAGGACGCTCTTGTGGGACACTCTTGTAGGGAACTCTTGTGGGCCACTCTTGTGGGACACTCTTGTGAGACACTCTTGTAGGACACTCTTGTGGGACACTCTTGTGGGACACTCTTGTAGGAAACTCTTGTGGGGTACTCTTCTAGGACACTCTTGTGGGACAATCTTGTAGGACGCTCTTGTGGGACACTCTTGTAGGGAACTCTTGTGGGACTCTCTTGTGGGCACTCTTGTGGACTACTACTACTATTAGTACTACTAGTACTACTACTACTACTACTGCTGACAACTGCAGCCTTGCGCTTGTCGATGCGTCGTCAAGCGCCACTGTGTCAATGACCGCGTCAAGCAAAACCGCCTCACTGCGCACACCTTGCGTGCTCTCCGTCAAGTCTCCAAAACCAGCGTTTCGTACGAGACTTCCTCCAAAAGTCACACGTCAAGTCTCCAAAACGAGCGTTTGTTTCGCGCTCCCCAGTGGCACGGCACCACGTAAACGCACTTTCCACCAAAGCCGCGCAAATCCCAATGGCACTGCGACATCACGAACGTCGCGTCGCCACACGGTCTGCCCAGACACTAGAAGCAAACGTGTCACATGACGCCACGCAATCGCACTTTCCAACAAGGCTGCGCAAATCCACATCACGAACGTCGAGTCGCCACACGGTCTGCCCACACACTGGAAGCAGTCCTGCGAGCGTTTCGTACGAGACGTCCTCCAAAAGTCACGCTTCGAGGCTGCAAGACGAGCGTTTCGTGCGGGACTTCCTCCAAAAGTCACGCGTCAAGTCTCCAAAACGTTTCGTACGAGACTTCCTCCAAAAGTCACACATCAAGTCTCCAAAACGAGTGCTTCGTACGAGACTTCCTCCAAAGTCACGTGTCAGAGTCAAGTCTCCAAAACGAGCATTTTGTACGAGACTTCCTCCAAAAGTCAAGCGGAAACACCCATCGGAGCACACACATCACGCAGCCCCGCCAAGCAGTTTCGCGCCACGAAATGTCACCTGCGTCACACCTCGCAACCTCACGATTCCCTGCGCCTGCCACGAAAATCGCACTTCCACACTTCAAAATCCGCACAAAGTACTGCGCCTGCCACGAAAAGTGACAATATCATCTCATGTGAGCTCACACAAAAATTTGCACCACACCACACGTTTGGAATGATTTCGACCCGCTCTGAGCACACTCCCATCCACCAAAATCGCCATTTCAGCTGAGACTTGTCACGAAAGCAGAGCTTCGATGCCACACCCTGAAGCGCAAATCCCAATGGCACGGCCACATCCAACACCCCAAAAACACGACTCTCCAAACGCTAATCCCAATGGAACTGCGCAGTAAACTGCGGATCTCACAAAACATCACAAAACGCTGCGCCTGCGCAGTGAAATCCTCCAGCACACTTCAACATCTTACATTTCCACGATTCCTCGCTACTTCACACGAATCTGACATGTCACGTTTTCATCCGAAACCCTCTCCAAAGCTTCCCCCAATGGCAGCGCCTTAGCGTCCTACTGCGGACGGTTGCGAACATAGAAACAATGGGTCGCGAACAAGGCTCTACCCCCAGACCCCCAGAGTTAAACGAGAACCCTTCGCTACGCATTCGGGAAAAAAAGGCTCTATTAAAGGGGCTTCCCTTTTTCCACAGCTCTTAATATATCTTAATATTCTAGACTACTTGAAGGAAGGAGGCAGGCCATGCAAAGACACGGACATACAAGATTGCAAAGCTACCACCCTCCGTCCGCCACTCGTTGCGCTTTGAAAAACATCTGAGTGACTTGACTTCTCTCAAGCGAGTCCGCACGCACCCTCACTGCTTCCTTTGCTTAAACATACTCTAACGAGTCAAACAAAATGCTCAAAATACCTGGCATCCACCCAACAATTCCACTATCTGTAACAACCAGATCACCAAGTATACGGGGTGAGGGGTGCCTCTTGCTTTCAAAGCAGAGGTTTCGCAGCCAGGGAATGCGAACTGTCTCAACTGTTCCAGAGACATGAGGAGACCTTGTTGACCTCGACATGTTGCCCGCTTGGAAATCTGCACTTGAAGTGCATGTCCTGGCATCTGGTCCAAAGTCCCCTCTCTCAAAGAGATTCCAGGTATTTCTGAGGGCCGGCCGCGCAACACCATATGGGATGATCTTGAAGCCAGACTTGCTGGCCAGACTTGCTGGACCCTCAGGGAGGAAGACTCAGGTGAGTCCTTAAATCTGGAGCTTGTCTTCAAAGCTTTCCTTCGAAGGCTCGAGCAAAGATTGATGCCAGTCTCTTTTATCTCTTCGCCTACCAATTCCACATCAAAACATCTGCAATATACATTCTGTCAGTCCTTGTTTGCTTTACTGAAATTCAGTATAGATTGCAAACACTAAGTAATATTATGTAATACACTGGTTTCTGGCGAGGACAGGCAACTCGGCAACATCGCTGTACACATTTGCGACTCGCGCAACAGCTGGCGAGCTTCGCGTCGCAGCTGCGATGTCGCCTGGGACCTCCGTCGGGATTCCTGACACGGTAACTAAACGGGTAAAAGTCAGTCGCCAGGACCCCTAAGATCTGCTAAGCCCTCAAAAACTGAGGGCGTTTTGTTGCGTAAGCATTCCATTTCTTTTCTGAAAATACCTTGAAATGTACTTGAGTGTTCAGCCACCAGCTTCTCAATGCACAACACTCGCATGCGAGCCATATCTGTGCAAATGCATATGCTGCATAGCCATGTTTAATCAATTCTACTGGTAGAAGAAACACTGTTTGAGATCGTATGGTGTTAAACTCGTTTAATTGTCAACAGAGTTGTTGATTTGGCCGGCTGAATCCGCAAGTGCTCTGGAGCTCAGCTGCACAGCGCCGTGCAGCTAGGCTCAGTGTACGGTCTAAGCCTCAGGGCGATCGAGGTCGGGGGCAGAATTTCTTGCTAAGCAAACGGGAGGTCAAGCTGTCTACCCAGGCCCGCTGACGTTATTTGTGCTTTTGAAGAGGGCAAGAACATGGAAGAACCAGCAAACAAGACCGGCAGCCAACTCTCTCCACTATCTCCACTCTGCCCAATCACGAGCCGAGGCACTCGTCGTCCTGGATGGAGTCGATTGTTCCTCTGTTTCCGACGGTTGTTGGATTCGCCTGAAGAAGGGCAAGCAGCCCGTTGATCTTCGTAGTTTCGAGGTCAAGTCCAGATTTGCGACACCAACGTTGGTGTGAAGAACCCAAGCTGAACACATGCCGTTTCAAACCTACAACAAGCGTGGCTTGGTCCAAGTATGTCCCTGCGCTTGTGCTTAAGGACACAGATTCTTTTGCTGGATGCCAAGCAGTATTCATCCAACTCGTTCAATGCAACAGGCTCCTTGGATGCATATTTAAGATTGTTTAAGTGTGTTGTGGTACCAGCAGCTTTGAACATGGAACTCACAAACGAACCTCTCCGACCAAACCTCCAAGGAGTCACCATATCTTCCATTCCGCCAGGAATGGGCCTGCCACCAGCAGCGGAGAGCAATTCGTGGTAAAGACCTTAAGAAAAGCCATGCTGCACCAGATCAGCTCAGCCAAGTTCTGCCATGCTTGCATCAGCTCAATGGCTGAGACACAGGCTGTTGGCTGTGCCACTGGCCAAGCTGCAAGCAGGAAAGCAATGGAAAGCAATCAAAAACAGATGAATTCAGTCGAACATTGCTGGCAGAGTGAACATGCTGGAAGCCATTAATGGCCACCTGTTCTGTTTCTCTCTTTATAGAACAATTACAATGGGCATTGACCTACAGTCTATAATTTGACCTGCACGTCTCACACACACACACACCTTCCAAGACTTTTCAGTGGCGTCCTTCTTTTTCATCTGGTTTCTCTGGTGCCTTGCTCGGCAAAAAACAGCTTCGCCTGTGGATCGCAGGCTGATCGGAGACATGGGGCTGGCCTTGGGGCGAAGCCAAAAATCTAGAAAAAACTGACAAAGATCCCTGCCGGAAATGAAGAATCTGAGATGATCTGAGGGATGAACATCATGAGTGATCACCTTGGGCAACAGTACCACATAACATTTGGTCAAGGCTTCCTTCATGCATTCATCCACATTCAATCAACCATGAAAACAAGCACTGATACTCAGTGTGGCGAACAACTGAGAGCATGAACTCCATTCACTCCGGTCATAACAGCCTGTTGTAGCACAGGAGTTCCCGTGGCCTCAGCGGATTGGAGCTTCAGACGCCTCAATGTCATTCCTCCCTGAGTCTTAGACGCAAAAAGCCAGTTGCTGCGGTGGCCTCACAAGCAGTGCACTTGATGAAAGCTCACCTTGCATCAACTGATCTAAGGAGGTGACATTGCAGCGGTTGCGGCCATCATTGGCAACACCTCAAGGTCCAATCACGTTGTTTAGCCAGTTTGGCCCCATCAGCCATAGGACCGTCTTGTTCGACCAATTAGCGCCATGAGACTTTGAAGAGAACTTGAATGAACTATAACTAGGGGAAGCGATTCCTTTAGAAAGCCGCAAAAGGGAAACCTATATAAACTATTAATGACTTCCATCGGGTCAGTTGTCATGGCCATCAACCCCTGAGAGCAAGACGACTGTAGATCCCAACCTGCATCAGGACCCAAGTCGCTAACATCACTCAGTGGATCAGCCAAACTTGAGGGCCAAGTTGCATTGGTTGGCTTGTGGATATTATCGCCTGGAATAGCTGCGATGGTTCATCTCAGGTATTCGGTCTATCAAGTTTGCAAAAGCTGAAGGTTCAAAAAAGGCGTTGTAGGCTGCCAGACCTGAGGGGCGGCTGTCCTAAGATGTTCAGACATTTAAGCACACACAAATGCAAAAAGTATATTCTCGATGGTTGAAATCGGTTGCGCAGCTGGTCTTTGAAGGTTTGACAGCAGCAGGTCTAAATTAGTAGCGATGGTCTCCAACCCAGAAGCGATGGCCTCCAACCAATAGCGATGGCCTCCAACATAGAAGTGATGGCCTCCAACCTAATAGCAATGGCCATCCAACCTAGAAGCGATGGCATCCAACCCAGAAGCCATGGCCTCCAACTTAATAGCGATGGCCTCCAACCTAGAAGCGCTGGCCTCCAACCTACTAGCGATGGCCTCCAACCTATGGTCCCCTCTGGGCAGCTTCATTAAAGGAAGATAAAGGAAGCTTGTGAATGCCTCACTCCTTTGACGAACCATTCCGGGCAGGTCCCGCTGCCCAATTGACGGTTTCGAAGCACACATGATCCACCCCAAAAAGAGCGCAAAACTCTCCAGGATATTCCTTGAGTTTCGCCGTTTTAAATCCCACTACAAGCGCACGTCTTGACATCATCTTTGCTAGCATGCAGTTGCGACTCTCCCTTTGAATATATTACCACCAATCCCTAGCCTGTCTCCGCCACGTTTGACGTGGATTCCAAGAGATGCCAAGAGGCGATCCCGCAGGGCTCTGCACCAAGGGTTGCCCTGGCTGCAAAGGCGGCGCGAAAGGCCTAGGCCTGACTTGGAGTTCTTCGCAAAAGATTTAGGTTCAACAATCATCTGCAAGTCAGTTTAAACATTCATCATCTAGACTCATTGGTTTCTATATTCTTTCTATAGCAAGCCCCAAATTGTTAATGGACCTTGCATGTTTTTGTTGGACCCAAAGCTGGACATCGTCGGGCCACAACTCACAGCCGCTCAATTTTCCACAAAAAAAATCATGGGCCCATACGCCAAAGGCTCCGGGGTTGTTGAGCCGGCGAAGACCTGGTCAACAGCACTGTTATTACCTTTGTTTCTTCATCAATCATAGAAGGTTTGAACATTGTTACTAGGTGCCTGGAAACATGCAACAATATATATATATAGATAGATATACAGTATATGTTTAGTCATATAAGGTCTAACAGAGTCTAACAAGCATGTCTACAGCTTGTCAAATATCCCTCCTGCTGATATTGAAAGACACGAAGAAGAAGAAGAAGAAGACAACACCATTTTGAAGACGCCTGCTGTGATGGTGTGCGGCCATCACAATATGCAATCCACTTCTCTCGGAGGATGTGCCTTGCAAAGGGCACATCGAGCTGTGCATAGGAACCATCAGAAAAGTTAGAAAAGGAGCCCTTCTCTTGGATAGCAGAGTGCCGAATTAACATATTCAATCGAATCAACAGTCAGAAGACATTGTTTCATATTCAATGACAGTCTAGTGACGCAAAGAGATGAGACTTGTGTGCAAGGAAGGTGTCTAATGAACTCGGATAGCCTCTGCTCAAAAGCTGAGAGCAAGGCTCATACTTGTCGCGGACAAAGCCAGGCCCATCACAAAGTTGTGAGGATAGCATTATCTGCAAACCCATAAAAGCATCTAAAAGCACTGGACATGTGGGGATGACGAAAACGATCCAATGACATCAAAAAGGAATGCCTGGCGCATGTTCTTTCGCAACAACGCAAGGGTCTGCAAGTTGCTACACAGTCCTTTCACCTCAGAGTCTCAGCATGTATGGATCGTCTATATAATGTATATAGTTATATAGATAGACACGATTGAGCTCTTGACCTTAGTCACATAGGCCTCCTGACAGGTAAGGGGCCACTCCAACAACAAGACAAGACAGATTGAATGCCATGTCCCGAATGCACTCCAATGTAGGTTTCACAAAACCACCAGGATCATTCTCAAAACAAATTAAAGCACTTCCAAACGCAAAGTCACAGAATTGGACGCAACATGGCATGCATCTACATGCATCGTGCATTTGCCCGGGGACCCCATCACATCATATCGCCACTTCTGTGTTGACCATCAATGCTCAAATCTGCGGCAGGGTGCGATCTCTGCCTGTGAATGAGCTGCGAACTCTCCGATTCCGATGGCGCTGAGCAAACTGTAGCAAACCTGGACGCATCAAGAGCCCGGATCAGCAAACATACTTCGATGCTATTTGGATGTTCAAACCTTCAGAAATTGTTGAAAACTGTAGCTTGTGGACACTTCAGACCCTGGCTCTGGAGCCATGGGTGTTGCCAACCAACGTGACAGCAGGTACTCCTGAACGGGCTTTGAGCAACGATGCCGGGATCGCGCTTCCAAAGTGACTAACTCAACTAACAATTCATTCTGGTCAGTTGGTGAACTAGTTCCCCAATTGCTTGGAATTCTTGAAAACTCAAAACACAGCTGATCCGTGAGCCACGTCAGGGTCACAGCAATGACACTAAGTGCCTCACCCATCAACAGCGACTCACATGTGGTTGTAGTGTTGGAGTACGGAAAGGTATCGAGAGCTATGTCTACCTGCCAGGGAGCGGAAAAAGCCAAACTAATAGCTTCTTGTTACTACTAGTAAGGCACTTGTTACTACTAGTAAGGCACCTGTTACTACTAGTAAGGCACTTGTTACTACTAGTAAGGCACTTGTTACTACTCGTAAGGCACCTGTTACTACTAGTAAGGCACTTGTTACTACTAGTAAGGCACTTGTTACTACTAGAAAGGCACCTGTTACTACTAGTAAGGCACTTGTT